TTGTCACGAAAAAGGATATTTTAAAAAATTACTTCTACACACACTTTCAATTTTTACTTAAAAATAGATAAATTCATTTATTATATAAAAAAAGACAAACGAAAATTCATTAAAAAATATTTCTTGGGTCTCTAATTAATAAAAAGCGACAAAACACTATTTTACAATGCATTNAATTATTTGATAATCTCGAGATGATTCTTTCTTCTTGGAAACTTTTATTTGCTTTACATCTTCAATTATGGAATCATAATTTGGTTTGTTATTAAAACACTACGTATTATATTTTAAATCTTCGCTAAAGAAGTTTGCGAAGAATCTTTTCTTGATTTTACTCACCAATTCGGTGCTTGCTTGCNGTCAAGGAGTTTTGGGCCACAAGTATATATAGTATATACTTGTAACCCAATATACAAGTATATTTAAAAATTGACATGTCTAGATTATAATAATAAGTATTAAAACTTTGTCACGAAAAAGGATATTTTAAAAAATTACTTCTACACACACTTTCAATTTTTACTTAAAAATAGATAAATTCATTTATTATATAAAAAAAGACAAACGAAAATTCATTAAAAAATATTTCTTGGGTCTCTAATTAATAAAAAGCGACAAAACACTATTTTACAATGCATTTTTATTCAACTAATATATTTATAAAAAATATGTAGCCCAGAAAGTATCCACAGAGACAAATGATATTTTTTACGTCAAAATAGAAAAAGTAGCCACATTTGGAACAGTGTAGCCAAATCTTGCAATGCTGGAAGAAATACTAAATAAAGCTGGAGTTATAACTAAAAGAATTATAGACCCAAATGCGGGAAAGGCAAAGACGAAACATAAACAAGTGAGAAAGGTTGGAAAATTAACGGTCAATATTTGCATAACAGAAGATCTATTTAACCTTTTTAACTAGTTTTTATTTTTTGTTCTTTCTCTTCTTTCCATCGTCTTCCCAAATTTCGGTCTATAATTTTTTGAGTCACAACTCCAGCTTTATTTAGTAATCCTTCCTCATTAGCACATTTCCAAGTATTTGAGAATATTTCATTTCCACTCAAAAATAAAATCTGAATAAAGGTTTACGGCTTTGTGAAACTTCTTTTTGAATTTATGCCGTTGAAGTAAACAAATAAATTAATTAATTAACACATTTTTCGGTTTCGTTTACACGTTTATTGGGCCGCATTCGAACTTGCCTTGGGCAGCGGGTTGGACACCCCTGGTCTAGGCCCTCTATTGGCAAGCGTCAAATCCGGCAGAGGGCGTTCAAGATGGCTGCCGAAACAGGTAAGGAACCGACCATGTGTTCGTTCAGTGCCTAAATCAATGCAATTTTCATCGGTAACAACTATTGCGATGTCCAAATGGAGAATAAATTATTGAATTTATGTCAAATTCTAGACTATATCGGCGACAGGAAACGTTGTCTTGTAGAAGGTGAAGCCGTTTTGAATGCTGGACACATCGTATTTTGTGGATTAAATTCTAACAACAACATGTTTTTGTTTATTGTTGCAATCTCAGGTATTGTCCTTTTAATACATCTGAATTACAGGGAGAATGCAAGTGCAAAGCGGGGCTGTCTGGTTTTTGTAAGCATGGTGAGAAGTGTTTAAATATTTTAAGCAGTATACACCATGTTCAAAATAAAAACTGTTTTATTTATCATAATAGTTAAAATTAGTACAAATCTGAAGGCTGCCCTGCTGAATCATTCTGCACTTATACAACATAGGCCAGTCAAAAGTTTGTAGCATACATTATGTTTTTTTGTGTGTGTGTGTATGTGTGCGTGTGTGTGTATACTGTACAGTTCGTCTCATATATCTGTAGTCTTTTGAAAATGCATGTTTATGGTGTACAAGTAGGGTTGCTATGTTGTCACCAGTCAAAATCTAACATTTATTAAACAGCTAAAGCAATAATAAGTAAATAATGATATATGAGACGTACACACACACAAAAAAAAACATAATGTGTGCTACAAACTTTTGACTGGCCTATGTTGTATAAGTGCAGAATGACTCATCAGGGCAGCCTTCAGATTGGCACTAATTTCAACTATTATGATAAATAAAACTGTTTTTATATTGGAACATGGTTTATAAGGCTTAATTAAAATATTTAAACACGTGTCACCTGTTAACGTGTAATAAACATGCTGTCACATACTTACAAAAACCAGACAGCCCCGTTTGCACTTGCATTCTCCCTGTAATTCAGAATGTATTAAAAGGGCAATCAATATCTGAGGTTGCAACACTAAAGCAATATGTTGATTTATATCTGTAAGATTGCTAGTTCTTGTAATTTTTATGTATTCCATTTTAAAAATGTTATATTTTATATATGAAGGAATATTAGATTCATATCAAATTGTTACGTCTATAGAGCACGGTTTTTTATAGGGTTTAAATTCTAAGTTGTTGTTGTTTCTTTTTATCTTATTATCTTCTTTTATTTATTCTGTTGTTGTATTTATAGTTATTATTCTTAAGTCTATTATTTTATTGTAACATCTAAATAGTTTATACTTTTATTGGTCTTATTTTCTTCTTCTACAGTAAACTGTATTTCTTTGTTTATGCTGTTTGTGGTACTTCTACATTGTTTATCGTAGTTTCACTTTCATCGTATATTATTAAAACATCATCAACGTAGCGCGTATAAAATTTTATCCGTTGCAACGAAAAGTTTAAGTCTATTATTTCTTGTTCTACATTAAGTTTTTTTAATTTTTTATCTACAATATCCCATATCATTGAAGGGTACATATTAGTAATGTCCAAACTTGCTATTCTATAGGTTTCTTTTATTGTTATATTTTTAATATCAGTTAAAAGTATCGCAAATCTTGAATTTTGGTTGGCTTTCAATTTCTGTTTTAAGAATTTTTCAAGGATGTATAGCGGAGTAAATTTAAATATTATAATAGGTCTTACCTTTTCATTTGGTTTGTGAGTTCTAAGGTGGATGTAAATTTTAGGCGTACGATCATTATTATTATTCAAAATAAATTCTGTCTCGCTGTAGTCAATTTTTTTAACCTTTGTAAGAGAGTGATTTTACTTTTTAGTTCTTTACTTAGAATTTCTTTTGCGTCTACTGGAAGTTTTCGAAAGCAACCATTTTTTACCAGTTCTGTGTTTCTTGGTTTTTACCCAATTATTATCTCCAATAATTATCTGCTTTGATTTATCGGCTCTAATTATTTGTAAATTCTTATTAATTAAAAACTATTTTGTTCTATTAATTTTATTTCTATATTTATAATATTCTTTATCTTTTATAACAGTTTTTCTATCTCTTTTTCTTTTGTTATATATCTCTTAATCGTGCTACTCAAAGTCGCTTTTGTTACCTGTGCTTTCATTTCAGGTAAGTGATTACAGACTCGAACTAAATGTCGATCTGCTTCAAATAGTGAATATTTGACACTTTTTATATATATTTTTTTTACGCTTTTTACAATAATATACTATAATGAGCGATTAGTTAATTTGTTCCTGCGATTACGCAATATTCGAAAGTAATAAGTTTCCCAGTTAATTTTTCAGCTGGAAGCTTTTGTTAAAAAATACTCTTGTCTTAGTAAAGTCATATAACATGCATATTAGTAGAAATACGCTCTAAGATAAAGATTATAGCTATTTTTTAACGTTTGTTTACATTCTGACTTTGATCAAGTGGATTGGTTTTTCGCGGGAAAATTTAGACTGGATAGTTCTGAAAAAACTCTCATTCGTTAAAGTTGATTTAGTCATAATATAAATCACCAATTAGAGTGTAATAGGAGTAGAAACAAAAATTTAAATCCAATTAACAGCAAGAACATTTTCCATAGAGTTACTATAGGAAGGCGGAGTTTCCCAAAAATATTTATTGCTAGATAGTTTTAAAAACATATTTGCATGCCTAAGTATAGTCGAATTAGCTAATTTAATGTCTAGAAACGTTAAATTAATTAATTACAGCTAAAAACAATTTAAGAAGTTAAGTTATTGAGATTGTTCATACTTTACTTCGAAGGTTGGAGGGAAAGATGTTCGCGGCAATATTTTCCTTTCACAAGTCTATGATTAGTTAAAGTAATGTCAAGTAAGACAGAAGATATCCAATAAAACGTTAGAAAAAGTTTCCTTTTTATTGTTTTCAGCCAACCCTATAGTTAAGTGGGAAGATTTACTGTAGATTAGTAGGGGATGTATTTACCTAAATATTTATTGCCCAGGGGTAATAGCAAAACACTTATTGGCTTAAAGAAAGTCAATCGACCTGCAGAAGAGCGAATCGAAGCTGCGATCGCTGGAAAACTCGAATATAACGCAAATAAACGCGATGGCCGCGATCCACGCCACCGTGTTTTTTTCTGTGGAATGTTTCCTACCCGAAAGCTCCGGCGACTTCAGTGAGACGCCGGCACTGTTTCGACTTTTTTTCCCGAGTAAACTTGGCGCGCAATAATAACATTATTTATTGCATTTTTTGCAGCTGAAAAATTTAGAGAACTTGAATTTTTCGAAAAACTTCGAAAAAAATACTGCTGAAAAAACTGCCACCGGGCGTCTCACACATGTCTGGCGATCTGGGAAGGGATTTATTAAACACAAAATGAAGGTTTCAATAAACTTCAAATTCTGACTTTTCTAGTTATTTGAATCAGAAACATCCTGTATCTCTTATTTGTAAAAATCACATAAGAGGTTTCCCTTGTCAAAAAACTGGAGCGACTTAATTTTCTACAAAAAATCAACTAGTTGATAAATAGTGTAATATATTATTTTCCGATAAACTCATATCTGAATTTAAATATTTAAACGTATTTCAAACCGAAAAATATAATTTTCCTTATTTTTCCAGATAACCAGTATAATTACTATCCCAAACAACTTTAAAACTTCATAATGAAACTTGACTGCCTAAGAAAAATCCTCTGCTTTATTTTCAAGAAATTAGGAAAAACAGTTGGACAGCATCCATATTTCTTTATTGTTTTACCTTTAATTTTGTCCATTGCTCTTTGCATATTTTTCGAAGCATTGACACCAAATAAGAAAATTAAAGATATAACAATTGCAGATAGAGGAGAACTTTCTAACATTAAAAAATATATAGACAATACTTTTTCTTTTGATTCTTCTCAATTTTCTGATCAGATGAGAATGCCTGATATACCGAATTCTCTGCTAGTATATGTGTTGAAAAATCTTGGAGGAAACACACGTTGGAAAAAAATATTCTTTCAGAAGTGAAATTGCTGGATGAAATTATACAGAACATCACATTAGAAACTGATGGGAAATTAACACAATATAGCGATATTTGCTTACTTATGCACAAAAAGTGCGCCAGAAATTCTATTATTGAAGTTATATCAGAAGTGGGAATTGATTCCATAGTACAAAAGAGAAAGAAACTGAAGTTTCCTATAGATATAGATTTATTGTCTTTCACTTATAAACCCTATTTTCTAAACTTTGGAGGTGTTATTCAGGATAATCTTAACTTTGTAGAAAAAGTAAATGCCATTAGGCTAATTTATACGACTGATGAAAAAAATGAAGTAAAAAGCACGTTCTTCGTAAAATGGTCGGCTCATGTTTACGAAATGATTCAAAAATATAATTTTACACATATTAGGGTTGTGCCATATTCAATGATAAAAATAGAACAAGAATTTCTAAAAGAATTTAATGAATTGAAACCCAAAATAGGAGGATTGGTTGCGATTATGATTGTACTTACGATATTTCTTAGTATGAGCCATAGCTGGATGAGAAGCAAACCGCTTCTTGGATTAGCAAGTGTGATCAACGCTGGTTTGGCTGTTGTATCGTCTTTTGGATTAATGGCTGCATCGGGTGTAGAAAATACTTACTGGAATACTACAATTCCTTTTTTAGTTCTTGGTAAGTGAATCGCTGTTGCTGCGAACTTATGGTACTGGTAGTGCTAAGCTAACGATTAATAATTATATATGTATTTCAGTGACCGAGATAGACGATGCTTTCGTATTAGTCGCGTGTTGGAGGATCTCTAATCCTAAACATTCAGTTGAGAAACGCATGGACACAACATATGGAGAAGCAGGAGTTTCCATCACACTCACATCACTGACTAATTTTCTTTCGTACTGCATCGGGATGATGGCTCCATTTCCTTTTATTCGAATCTTCAGTTATTATACTGCAACTTGCATAATGTTCAATTTTGTATATCAGATAACGTTTTTCGGAGGATGTTTGGCATTGAGTGGATATAGAGAAGAAAAGGATCTTCATTCTGGAAAATTTCATAGAACTGGTAAGTTGAAATTTATTTACAACCAAACTATATGATTCTGAACTTTTATTATTTAATATTAAGTTTATGTATATACAACCATGTTCCAGAAATACTGTTGCTATTTTAAATTGTAGTATGATGTCTGTTAATCGAATTTTCGATCTTCTAATCATTTTATTAAATTAATTAAGTTTATTTAATATTTTGTATTTAAAGTACAGTATGTAACGAAATTTAATTATTAAATATTGCTTTTGTTATATTCCAAAAAATGTAGTATAAAATTTTATTTATAATGCATTAATCGAATTGTTTATAAATATCTGTTCTCTTGATTAATAAGGAAAAGGATGTGTTTATCTAAAACAAACGTATTTCTGTAATTTGATTAAAAGGCTAAGGATTAAAGTGATTACTGATCTGCGGAAGCAAATATATGGTACAGTATTCCCGGAATAACAGGGTTATTATTAAAGGCACAATAATTTAATGTAGATGTTACCGCTAAAGCTCGAAATCCGTTAATGTGCACATTACTTAGCTAATCTGCAGATTAACTAGGGTGATTCGTTAAAGCTGCGAAAATTATTCCATTTCCCAAATTACCTAGGTAATGTTCAGATTATCTAGGTAATCTGCGAATTACCTACTAGGCACTCGGTAAAGTGAAAACAGGATTTTTGCTGGAACAACAGCAACGTTTCTGTATGCTTAAATTAACATAATGTTATTTATTTAATTTTCAATATCTAAAGAATCAAGTTAATGCAATCAACAAATTAGTTGATTGAATCAATCATCAATCAATTAAAAAAACTTTAATACAAAAATCAAACGGTTTAAAATATTACTACAATTAGGGAAATGAATTTGCAAAACATATGAAAAATTGTACGTACTTATTAGTGCAATCTAAAGATTGGTGACACTGAATTACGTAGAAATTTGTTTTTGCGACAAGCACGCCTATTTGTGGTACATTTAGATTTGCAGTCACATTTTCTGAAACCCTGCCTAGTACCAAGGGATTGTTTTATTGTTGTTTGACGTAAAGATATTTCTACAGCAGGGACATCCATCTTCTTTCGTTAAAAATCTCTCTNGTATTTTTTTTTATTATTTACGAAAAAAAAATTTTTTTAATAGAAAAGTTTTAGGTATTTTCATTTAAAAAAATTAAATTTAAAAAATCGTATTGTCTAACACAGCAGTTACAAAGTTGAAGTGTTTCTACATATAACAAAACAAACTGCGTTATTCTAGCTTCAATAGAACCCTGATGTTTACGTTCAAAGATTGATTTATGACCGGGGTGTGTCTAGTTACACGTACTGTCATAGCGTCGGCTTCCCGGTGTGATAAGCGATACTTGTTTTTTATTATTTTCAAATATTTAAAATTTAATAAATGTTCTAAATATAATTACTTGGATTGGCTTTTGTTTAGGTTGTCTGACTGTAAGATCGACAAATCAGTTCATCTCTAGTCATAAATATTCCCGGGAAACTTTACCTTCCTATAGTATGTCTATGGGAGACCTTCTTGTCGTTAATTGGCTTTAAATTTATTTTTTGACGCCTTTTACTCTCTAATTAGTCAATTCTATTATGACTGAATCAATATTAACCAATGAGTGATTTTTCAGAACCGCCTATTCAGGAATTTCCCGCGAAGAACCAATGACTTACAAAATCACGTGTTCGGAGTTAAAACGTAAACAAACGTTGAGAAATAGCTATATTCTTTATGTTATATCTGTAATTCTAGTAGTTTTTATGTTATTTGACTTTACTTAGACCAGAAGATTACTCGAAAATTTTTCCGAGAAATTCAACTCCTTCTGACATTACATAATATGAGAAAATATGTAAATAAGCCCATTCAAAATTGCGAATTACAGTCAAATATTGTAAAAATAGTCGAAATAATATAAAAATAATATATAGTATACATTATCTGGAAGGAAACTTGTTAACTTGGTCCTACAGATCACTCATCCATTCCCCTCCCATTACAGTAATTAGAGATATAATGTAAATAATGGCTTTAAAAATAGCTGTGTTCTTTATTTTGTAGATATAATTTATTAGATTTTATGTTATTTGATTTCTCTTAGACCAGAATATTTCTTATCAAAAGCTTCCAGTCGAAAAATGTACCGGGAGAATCGTTACTTTCGGATGTTGCGTAATCGCATGAAAAAAATTAACTAATCGGTTACTATATAATCCATTATTGTAAAAAGCGTTGAAAAATTATGTAAAAAGTCAAATATTCACTATTAGAAGCAGGAAAATATATAGACGAACTTTGTCCGATATTACCTGAGCCACACCACCCTATCAGTTAGTCACGAAGGGAAAATGTATATTCTAGTGTTTACTACACAAATATAAAACAGGACACGGTTTCAAAAAGAAAATCAAAAAATTTACTGTTATGTTTAAAATCAGTAACGTTGTCAATTATCATGCGAGTACAACCGCTCTGGTTTTTGATATCTTCTTCAGTATTAAAAGTCCTGAAAACGCAGAATGTAGGGTACTAGCCATCTGAAAGTAGAACAGAAATATTATTAAAGTAGATTTACTTTAATACGTATAAAAGTACATAACCTTTATATTCTTATGTATTAATAGAAAAACAGGTCTAGTAAATGTATATTACTTTTAAAGGTATTTTCTTATTAACATAGAAGAATCCACCTATTGAAAGACATACTGAAATACTTCCAAATCTTTTCATGAAATTCAACAACTGAAAAAGTTAGTATTTACTGTTAAATAGATCTTTCTTCGCGATAAAATTATAATTGTACCAAATTTATATCTTAAGCTTGAAACATAAATCTAATTCGCATACTTCAAACTGCCTAACTTCTTGAAAGCCATCCTGCATCTAAAAAAGTAAAACATATATAAATTTAAATAAAATAAAGTGTCGTATATAGTAATAAATTACAAAGTTAATAATTTTTATCACCATTAGGAATGTATTTTTGATAACACCAATTAATAAAAGAAATCATTCGAATAATTAAAATAACAGGATATGAAGAAGAAAAATTCATGGAAAAATTTACAGATATTGTAAATAAATTATAAGAAATATTAAGGTTTGTTTTCGTAATTAATTAGTTCGGAAATGGTAAAATAAATTGATTTTAATTATTAAAAATTAATTAAAAATTAATTATTTTAATCGTATTTTTGATCTGCTTAAAACAGCTTAAACATCGATAAAAGGCATTGCTATTTCGATAACTCTTTTATTTCGAGAACAAATGGAAGACTCGTGAAGCTATTTCTTTTGGATGAACCTATTAGGATGATGTCAAAATGTATTAATTTCAAGTATGGAATTCACTCTTTTTTACAACGGTACATTTTAGCTTTTGCAGATTACTCCGTATATTCTATGCTTTATATAGTTAATTAAAGGAGGTATTGAAAGGTGGGCAGTTTTTACAAATGCTTGATATAACGGTCATTTAAAAAAATAAAGTTCCTTTCTGTACAGAATGCAAAAATTGATTATATGTTTGAAAAATTGTCTTTTATAAATTAAGTTGGAGAAAAATCCACGGACAGAAATAAAATTAATTGTTCTTGCTTGTTTTATCAACTTATGTTTCATACAAACAAATTATTTGAAGTAAAAACTACATTTTTATTATTAGTTGAAATATGCCACAAAAACTGCTTTTTGTTTAATTTTAACGTATCAATTGTATTGTAAACAATACAATTGATACAATACAATTGAAACAATACAATTGTATTGTAAACAATACAATTGATACTTTAAAATTGATACAATACATTGCTTCCACGCTATAAAAATGTTATAATATTTAGTATATGTTAAAAAAATAATTGGCTAATATTTAATAATAGAAGTTATCGCATGCTACATTCTGTACGAAGTAATAAAAAATAATTTAAAGCAATTGAAAAGTCATAATTACCGTAAACGCCATGCAACACAGCAAACAACCACAAATGATACAAGCGAATGTAACACTAACCATCATAACAAATATACATAATCGTACAATCGCCGAACTATTAATAAATAAGAATGCATAATACAAAAAGCTTGTTGCTCAGAAGATACTGAAGTAAACAGCAACGAAGACATACTTGAATTTTGTGTTCAATTGATTCATGAATATCTACAAATCTTCATGGCGCATCACCAGGAGTTTGAATTTTATTTTTAAATCATTGCCTTTTTTGTTAATAGCAGACAATTGATCAAGAAGTTCTTCAAACTCTTTATGGGCGACAAGTAACATTAAAGCACATAACAATAAGCCGTGAACAATTCCTCCTATGATTAAACTCGTGACAATACCAACGTCAATATTACACAAAAGAGCCTCCAATTGAAACTTTGCCGTTTTTTCTATATTAAAGTAATAACAAGTCAAATTGACAAGTTGAAAAATAATAATTATAACTATAACCATTAAAGCAAAGAAGAGAGAAACATTTCTCATTAAAATATTACTTTCAACATTCATTTTCACATAGAAATATTTGTTTCGTAGATTTTTTTATGAGATTAACCTTGTTCTTATACACGTAAGTTACGCATGCCGAGTATACTATGTAGACAATTGCAATTGCTACATTTACAACTTTAGCGTCACTTTTAAAAGTAAGAAACCGTCCAATACAAATTGCACTATCACCTAAATTTGGCAATGCTTGCAATATAATAAGCATGGTAAATTGCCACAGCAGCAACTGAATAAATTTCAGATATTTATTTCTTATTTTATCGTTATCAAGTATATAACTTCTATTTATGCAGTAACAAATGCCAAATGGTTCCACGCCGTATACAAGGGTAATCATCCAAAAAGGACTTAAGAAACAATTCATGCAAATTGAGTTATTGTTATTCGAATTCATATTTTAAAATTTCTCAATATGAAAAACGTCAGTAATTAATAAAATTTAGTAAAACCTTTTGAGTTAAAATTCTTATCTAAATTTGTGTAGAAGGTAATATTACTCCTTACACATAGAGAAGACCTTATCAAGCTTATATTATCATCTCTTAAAATGCATAACACGAATGATATAATGATGTATTTGAAGAACTAACGGCTTCTTAATGATAAGAATATCATCATAAATGGGACCCCATTTGACAATAATGACGTACATTTAACATTAGAAAACACGTCATTTTCACAAAAATGTTAAAAGCTAATTGATCATCGATTTTCATTACGAAAGAGCAAATGTTGAAAAAACAATAACAACCTCGAATAAAGTTATGTAAATGAATTGTATATTATGTTTGCAAATAGAAATTTTTGAACATCATAACCTGGATTGAGGTATACATTATCATTGCAAACTATTTAGTGTAAATTAATGATCGACATATTTATATTTGTCACATGTTCACTGTAAAATGTATGCTTCGTGTAAGTTCTGTCTACGTTATATAAATCTTCCCAATACATTAAGATGTTTGTTGAGTGATAAATGAAATCTGGAATCCTATTATTGCTAATAGATCCTGTTACATCACAGTAAATTATAACACGAATCTTTCGTATGGTGAGCTCACACTTTGGCACTTCACTTAATTATTTTTCGTCTTTTCTAATTGTTTTGTTTTTTGTAAACATAAAAATTATAAAAAATGATGTTTTTGATATAGTTAACAGAATAATCGAGCAGTTTTTGCGAATTTACATAATGGATGTCTAGTCTATAATACTTTTTAATCAACGATGTTGATGGAAACGTTTTATAGTCATTGTCATTTAAGTCGAAATAAACCTTTCAAATAAAAAAATTAATTTTAATTATTTAATACAAAGTAATTTGTCACTAAAGGAAGGTGTTAGGCGGCATCTCCTAAATAAATNGTTAATGTGCAGATTACCTAGATACTCTGCAAATTACCTAGGTAATTTGAGAAAGTGAACAATTTTCGCAGCTTTAACGGATCACCCTAGTTAATCTGCAGATTAGCTAAGTAATGTACACATTAATGGATTTCGAGCTTTAGCGGTAACATAGATACAGATACAATTTCTGAATTATTCTTTCTAATACAAACTTTAACAAAGAATTCTATGTTACTAATGAAAGTATGAAGAATGCAATTCTTTATCTGGAATTTGGATTGAATAAAATCAGTAGTCTTTGCTGAAAGCAGGTTCTTGAAAAACATTTTTTTTTGTGGGTAATCGGGAATAAGGCGTATGTCTTACCTCTTTACCGGCAACAGTTTGAAAAGCGTGTTCGTTTTCTCGATCTCGCGAAATAGGGATCAGTTTTTCAGGTCAAGTGGAAGACAGTGAGAGAGGTTATCAGTAAGGTGTAGGCAATATACGTGTAATAAACACCACTAACAAATTAAATCAAAAATTTAATGACAAAATTAAAAACAACAATATAACAAAATTACAGAATTGCAAAACTATAAAATCAAATGCAACATCGGTTAAGCTATCGCGTACCTTTAAATGAGTGTATTCAACCAATTGAGCTCTCGCATACAAATTGAGGGATCGAGAGATAGTTTACAGTATTTGGAGTACAGAGTTTACATTAAATTACATACCTAGTTCACAAGAATTTGATAGTTTGACCGGGTATCTGACTTTGCGGATCGTTAGCTCTAAGTAATATCTTCGTAGCAACTGTTTTAATGTGCAATAGTTAAACATTTTCGAAGAGAGTGCCCCGCAAAAGAGTGTCTCGGTCTTATATTCGAATAGGCTAAAAAAATTAATTATGTGATCAACTGTTTGGATTACGAATTTGCAGGTGTGAGGTGAAGGGTTACCGTTGATGATGCTATGACGTCGACCAAAGGCAGCCATCATGTCCATGTTAGGTTCGATTGTTGCTATTGACACATTTGTCAGTTTACTTTCTTTTTCTCTAACATCAAGTTGTGTAATTTTACATTCGAATGCATTTTCTATGCGATGTTTTCTTTACGATCTCAACAGAGAAATAGGCGTAAAAATTTACTTAAATTTACACACAATCAATTGCTCGATAACACAATCAGTTCCAATAGAAACTAGTGATGTTCCGGATATCCGTATCCGTATCCGTATCCGCGGATATCCGAGGGAAAAAAAAGATCCGTATCCGTATCCGCGGATCTAGACACTAATTATCCGTATCCGTATCCGTATCCGCGGATATACATTTTTAATGATCCGGCACATCACTAATAGAAACATTAGTTATTGTCAGATAAGTGCCAAAAAGTACAAAGAATCTCATTAACTTCAATCCAGTAACAGAATCAGTATAAACTCATACATTTTCCAAACATTTTTGCACTTTGCAAGAATTTATCCTGTTTTCCATTTTTTTGATTTAGCTGTTGTGATCTATCTTTGAGATTGAAAGGTTTTTTTTTCTCTGATCTCAATTTGTATTTGTATGTTTTCCTTTGCAATTCAATTGGTCTTGGCAGATTATTACTACTGCTGTTTCTAACTGCTCCTCATTGCACTGACAAGAAGGCTACACCTATGTCCCTCAGCAAGTTTGATGAATTTTGCACAAAGGTAGTATTTGAATGAGGATGCATTCTTCCAAAATTTTCAATTTTAGGAGACATAATGAATGAGTTATGACTATTAAATGAAAGTAAGACTATTTAATTTATGACTTCTATGACAGCTTTTCTTTTTTGTTAGACTTACTACACCATCTTTCAGAAATAGGACAACCTTTAGAAAATCACATTTTATTTCCAAGAGTATTCATTTCTGAATGATGGTGTAATAAGTCTAGCTAAAAGAAAAGCATTCATACAGCTTATAAATTAAATACAAGATTAAACAAGCAGCGAATTATAGATAGTAAGACTAATTTTCAAAGCAGGCAATTAGTAGATTAGTTTGGTCATGTAGGCAATCATTTGCCCAAGAATTAAAAACTGCCAAGACAAGGTCGATAGCGTGTTTGTTATTCATGCCATGATATTGTACTAGTCTTTAAAAAACCGAAACGATTGTTTCTTGGCTGAAATGTAGTTTAATACAAACTCTTTTACATTTTTAATTGTCACAAATAGCTTACACCTTTGTTACATTAAATTAATAATTATACTAATATAACACTATAAAAATACAATTAAAACATTACGAATATAAGAATAATCAGATTACTTACATCAATATTTTAATGAAACTGGTAAACATTTACATTAACTAATAATAATATCTTTCACTAATGAACGGGAAAATTAAAGAAATAATAATGGCTTTCAATCCAGAAATTTTATACATATAAGCACTTGTAACGATGGCACATTTTATAAATATACTTTGATCACGATCTTTTTGAGAGAGACAAGACGGTCACTCTCTGTAAACGTGAAGCACACTTCCTTGACACTGGGGAATTTTTCTCTACCAGATAGAAGTCCAAAAAATACCAGAACTAACGAATCATAAGGATTGATACAAAAATGTTGACAAATATTCGAAATTTAAAAAAGATTGGAACTTGACTATAACTTTCCAATTACCATCATGGAGGAATAACCCTAGATTTATAAGAATTCCCCTGACAAGGTATTTTAACTGCCAATGTCAAGGGTCAGCATCAGAGTAGTAGAGTTTTCTGCTATAATAATTTAAGGTAATTTTTGAGTATTGTCAGCTTTATTGAAAAAATTTTGAATTCATCAGACAAAAAGAAAATTTTCCTTTCAGTTTAGGATTATTTGTCTTTTTAACAAAATTCATTTACAGTCTTGCTCTATTTTGCCTAATGTGCTACTCAAGTTACAACAATATTAGAAGGCATAAAACTGTTAATCTCTCCTTGAACTTTTAATTCAAATTCCACCCTCATATTCTTGTCAGCATAATAGAATGTTGGCAAGAATATCACCAGCCAAATTTTTATAAAGAAAAATCTGACAGGTGTTATCGTTTTATGATGAAAATTAATTGAAATCAAATTTAAAATGGGGAACAATGTACTTGAAAGTGTTACCTGAGTTTGAGGTAACGATATATCGGTACACTAAGTAATTTGTAACTGATTCTGGTTGTTATAAAATAATGCAGTGGTATTGTTACGCTTAAATGTGGATGACAAAGCTAATGACAACGTAATATTTACCATTTTGTTAATTGATCGATTATGTGTCATGACAATTGCAGATGCGACAGCCTTACACATGTAGAAATGTTACAAATCCAACCAAATCTAAATTTCCATACTTACTTTGCTTTAGTAAAAAAATAATTTTCTTTTATTGTTTGCTTTGTTACGCTTCTCACCTACAATAACACGAATTTCCATGCAAGAAACAATACCTTCTCCTGTTTGATTACCTATTTTCTGAGTCTAAACCATCATCTGCTACTAAAGAAACTTCCAGATATGTGTTTATTTGTTAATATTCATCCCTAAAAACAAGTTTAAAACTTAACAATTGTGGCTTAGTTATATGCCAAAAAGTTTTACTGCGATAAGACAAATCCTCTACAAACGAGTTCATTTCTACAATTACAGCAAATACACTGATGAGTAAATTTTTCAATGACAATAACTTGCTGGTTATGTATATAGCATATAACATAGTCTGTTCCAAGTAGTAAAGAGAAAAATGTCTCGTATAAAAAAAATACTGCAAATAGTCACTCAACTTTTTCAACTGTTATGAAATTTTATTATAAATATAACTTTTGCATTGCTAATCATAATATATGAAATTGTGTTTGGCACCATCACTTATAAAACTTTCTTAATAAGAAGTTTTGTCTTACGAATTATTAGGAAATGGCAAAATATTATTTTAAGGTAGAAATGAGTTTTATTCAAAGCAGGAAATATAAATAAAGATTAATATATTTACCATATCAGACTTTTCGCAAAACCCCACATCGCTATCTCTCCACCCCAATTTTGATGTTTTTTCATCAAAATTTAACAGGAGAAAGGTACCATAAATTGACGTTTTCACATGAAATTTCTTTTCTTAAATTTTACTCCATTCCTACATATAAAAAATTATGCTAATACATTTACACACATTCAAACACGTACACATGTACAAAGTTGTTCACCATACTTCGATTAGTTTAGATTTATCAAGTGTAAAAATGTGAACATTTGAGAAAAGAACAGATGGTAAAACTTAACACGATTCTAATAATGTTCCTTGTTATTTACACGTGACAGAAAGAGAAGTAAAACAGAAATTTTTGTTACATTCTATAATTTATTCAGGAGTATCATCAACGAACCAAATTTCTTGACTGTTTGTATATAAGTTTCAATCTGATCTTATTTAATTCATTACCTGTTAGAAATGAAAAGTAAATTATACAAAAATTTAACGTAAAATGTCTGTTTCCCCTGTGTTTTTTACAAATATTGTATATTCTAAATTTTTTTATTTCAGAACAAAGTGATGAATATCGTGAAGATAATGATAACACCGAAGAAGAAGAATTCACTATGGCAGTTTTCCGAAATTTATTAGGAAAAATACTTTCAATTCCATTGGTGAAGATAATTGTTATTATCGTTTATATTATTAATTTATCATTTGCAATTAGGGAAACATTTTACATTCAGCATGGTATTAAATATGAAAATTTGTTTCCAGACAATTCTCTAATTTCACAAGGCAGTAGAATACTTTACAAGTATTTCACGCGTTATGCTTTTCCTTTTCAGATAGTTATTAATAAAACGTTGGATTACTCAGATATGAAGGTACAAAACTTGATAGAAAATCTGTTGAATAAATTTGAACAACATCCAAATATCGCCGGCGATGAATTTACTGTGTCCTGGTTAAAATTCTATAAAGAATTTCAGAAAAGTCCCGTAGCGAAATTTTCTTTACAGGGTTATAATATGTCAAATAAACAGGATTTTATCGATGGACTACGCGATGTGTTCTTTAACATCGGTCCTGCTCAGTCACTATCTAATGACATAGTTTTTAACAACAACAAAACTGATATCTTTTACAGCAGATTTTTTATTATGGGAAAAAATTTGAACTCTTCACACACAGAAACAGATACATTAAGAGATTTATTGAAAATCGCTGACAAATCCGAAATTCCTGTGCTGGTGCATTGTATTAAATCAGGTATAATTGAACAAGGGATCATTATTGGTCAAATGATTAGCCAATTGTTTTGGATTACTGCTGTACTAATAACAGGAGTTTTTCTGTTGTTCGTACCGAATTTATTAGTCGCAATTGTTGTTGCGATTTCTGTTGTTTCTTCAATGGTAGAAACTTTGGGTTACATGTCTTTATGGGGCGTGAATTTGGATATTATATCAATGATGAGTCTTATTGTGTGTGTGGGATTCAGCGTCAATTATCCCGCTCATATTTCGTATGCTTTTGTCATGTCACGAAGCAAGACAGCAATAGAGAAATTAAAAGATTCTCTGTATCGTGTAGGCTTTCCTATACTTCAAGGAACAATGACCACAGGATTAGGAATATTGATTTTATATTCTAATGTGTATTTTCTTTCCACATTTGCAAAAATCGTAATTCTTGTTGCTATAGAAACGGCTTTTCACGCGTTATTCTTTATTCCTGTAGTTCTTTCTCTCATATACGTTATTTTGGAAAAGGTAAAATTAAGTTGTTATTAAAAAGGAAATTGTCATCTCTTTGCTATTGGCATTGTTTGGTAGTTTTCAAGTAAATTTATAGGCTGTATTTGCCAATGGAAAATAACCATTTCGGAAAGTATTGAACGATACATTAATTTAATTAATTGAAATTTAATTTTGTTATAATATAATATTAGATAATCTCTAGTTTTTCTATACATGTTTAATATGGGTGAGATACGCTGTATACTTTTTATATATCTGACAAGTATGTAGCGATATTATCGAATATTATCTACTGAAGAATAATACGTAATACATATATTAAAAACTTATACTTAATTTAAGTGCGATAACAATTGCACTAGTTACATGTATAAAATATTAATAATAGCCGGAGTCATTGAAAAAAAAATTACATCTTCATTTATTAAGAAAAAATTTTGTTTTTTAATAATTTATTACTTTATTAAGGCAATGTATTAATTACTTTTCTAATCATATACGTTATTATTTTGATTATTATTATTTTTTACGTATTCATAAATAATTACTGAAACTTGAATAAATATTCAAGTTTTATTGTAACTGATTATAATCAGTTACGATGAATGAATCACCTGAAGCAATATTTCATTTGATACAAAAAATTAAATTTGTTGGGCTGCAGTTTGAACATTGCAAAGCTCTAAATTTACATGCATTTATTTTTTTTTTACTGTGTGCCCTTCCTTAATCTCGAGAACGCAGTTACACAAATATAAGTCGAGATTAGTTGTGGAAAGATTAGGAGACAGTGACCCCTATTAACTATAAACGAATTTCTGTTCCTTACATGGAAGTCGTGTTAAATTAATTTTCTGCAAAACAGAATTTGGACTTCTTTTATTACGAAAAGTATAATCTACAAGTTCACGACACTACTTTAAAAAATCAAGGGCACTGTCATATTAAATAAAATAGAAGATAATACTAATTGTTCTAACTGTAAAGAGACTTTCAGATATGAAAATCCATCTGTTTGATTTATTCTTATGCATATTTTATTTAAAACAAGTTATACTCTGTAAGATTTTCAAAATAACCTATTTTAAAATCGATACTATAGTATGTCAATTTTGCATATGTTTTATAAAATCTTTGTTCGGTCATTAATTAACTTTGTTATAAATATTTTAGGTTCTTCCATGTGAAAGTAACTATATAAATTAATAAAAGTATTATTACTATTATTTTTGTTAATTGCTTTCGCGTTGACAGTTATTCTCCGTTACATGAAACATATGTATTTGCCGAATCAAGTACAGACTACATTTTACAGGAAAGAAAGTACAGTACTACCTTCTATTGTTATTTCAAAATTGTAAAATTTAGAACATTTATGTTATACTTTGACTTGTTTTAGCGATAAATAGAACATTTTCAGTCGCCATTTTTGTTATGATAAATTTTCATGTGTGATTAATTCACAAATTACACCGCATTTAGTTAATAAATTTCATACGTTAATACAAAAATATTTATTTTTTACAGACACGATCGTGCACTAAAACGTGTTAACGAATTCATTTTCTGTTTTTTTAGGACTAGCTGCATTAATAGGCAGAAGGTATTTTTACATCGTGTTTATTCTGAATCTTCTATAGGCAGATACGAGTTTCTGGCAAAAGCACTTCATCTGTCGTAATGACATCCGGAATTTATTTTGTGTTGTGTTGATACTTATACATTTAGTTTAAAATTACGTATTTACTGTTAAAATTGTTAAAATATCATTGCAGTTTAAAATATATTTATGATTTTAAACTGCAATGATAAGTTAAGTGAAGGTTTCATTGTTGATGTAAAAATAAAGATAAAGATGATGTAAAAATGCCTTGTGTTTATAAATGCATTTAATTGTAAAGAAAAAACAAATAAAATAAGTCATGGTCTCGGAATACATAATTAGAATTTATTGTCATTTTGTCACTATAACTTACAAAGAATACTACAGTTTACAATACACAATATCTGCGACAGATCTTAGACTCTGTCAGGAAGGAATGTTATCTTTCAGTCTGATCTGTCAGCAGAGACATAATTTCAAAATTACCTATCCACTGGCTCCATAATTATCTCAATGATATCTGGCTTGATTTATACTAAGCTTGATATATTCGTACAATGTGACAAAATTCAACCGATGGAATTTATATGAATATCCATTAATCATTTACGAAATTATCGAAAATAAACGTGTAAAAAGGCACCGAAATCTACATTTACGCCAATAGATGTTATAAGAATATTCTGATAGATGTGTAGACATTCAAATAAATGACATGCACACAAAGTCTACAGAAAAGTAGATACAATTAAATAATAATTTTAAATAATCTCAACATCTTGAGATTATTTAAAAGTTTTGACACTTTGAGTTGATATTGCTTGCATTAATGTAATGTCTATTGTCTGAAGCTATATAATTATAAATTTTTTTAGATATTCTATTTTTCTGCTTACTATGAAAAAATACAATTCAAAAATATTTTATAGTACAGGAAACTAGAAATCAGGCCATTAAAATTGTTTTACTTCTCTCACTACAATAATGAATGTTGTAATTGAGCGAATAAATGCTTGCAAATTTTTCCTGTAGTTGGTGTTTTTATAATTTAAATATTTTCAGAGGTGCAAAAGTAATGGACTCAAAACTTAAATAAACTTGAATTCAACTTTTTTCCAAAATAAATTGAAAAAATTAATTAATGCCATAAACTGAAGCAGGTTTTAATAATAGTCTGAAAAGCTGATAGCCAATACCAGCCTTATTTTTATTATATCAAATATAAAAGAATCAATTAATACGTAAAAAAATGTAATTATAGCCTACAATAAATCTTATTTTGTCTTTCACGTTGTATTTTCTTAAGTGAGTACCCTCTTCATTTCATTAAAATTCTTTACAAATAATTTACTAATTTATTGTCAACTATTTATTATCAACTAATAAAGGAATTTGATGGAAAATTTGCCATGTGTCTTTGGAATAAAACACAATACTAGCCGGTTGTACCCTGAATTTTTTTTAAATCACAAGTTTTCAGGCCGGAATTTTTTGTAAAATATTTTAAAACTGCTATATTTTTTTATAATTTTTGCGCTAGAGACGCGCTGTTTTTTTATTTTGTCTATAAACACTTCATTCTCACTGATTATCGTATTTTTTTTTATTATTTACGAAAAAAAAATTTTTTTAATAGAAAAGTTTTAGGTATTTTCATTTAAAAAAATTAAATTTAAAAAATCGTATTGTCTAACACAGCAGTTACAAAGTTGAAGTGTTTCTACATATAACAAAACAAACTGCGTTATTCTAGCTTCAATAGAACCCTGATGTTTACGTTCAAAGATTGATTTATGACCGGGGTGTGTCTAGTTACACGTACTGTCATAGCGTCGGCTTCCCGGTGTGATAAGCGATACTTGTTTTTTATTATTTTCAAATATTTAAAATTTAATAAATGTTCTAAATATAATTACTTGGATTGGCTTTTGTTTAGGTTGTCTGACTGTAAGATCGACAAATCAGTTCATCTCTAGTCATAAATATTCCCGGGAAACTTTACCTTCCTATAGTATGTCTATGGGAGACCTTCTTGTCGTTAATTGGCTTTAAATTTATTTTTTGACGCCTTTTACTCTCTAATTAGTCAATTCTATTATGACTGAATCAATATTAACCAATGAGTGATTTTTCAGAACCGCCTATTCAGGAATTTCCCGCGAAGAACCAATGACTTACAAAATCACGTGTTCGGAGTTAAAACGTAAACAAACGTTGAGAAATAGCTATATTCTTTATGTTATATCTGTAATTCTAGTAGTTTTTATGTTATTTGACTTTACTTAGACCAGAAGATTACTCGAAAATTTTTCCGAGAAATTCAACTCCTTCTGACATTACATAATATGAGAAAATATGTAAATAAGCCCATTCAAAATTGCGAATTACAGTCAAATATTGTAAAAATAGTCGAAATAATATAAAAATAATATATAGTATACATTATCTGGAAGGAAACTTGTTAACTTGGTCCTACAGATCACTCATCCATTCCCCTCCCATTACAGTAATTAGAGATATAATGTAAATAATGGCTTTAAAAATAGCTGTGTTCTTTATTTTGTAGATATAATTTATTAGATTTTATGTTATTTGATTTCTCTTAGACCAGAATATTTCTTATCAAAAGCTTCCAGTCGAAAAATGTACCGGGAGAATCGTTACTTTCGGATGTTGCGTAATCGCATGAAAAAAATTAACTAATCGGTTACTATATAATCCATTATTGTAAAAAGCGTTGAAAAATTATGTAAAAAGTCAAATATTCACTATTAGAAGCAGGAAAATATATAGACGAACTTTGTCCGATATTACCTGAGCCACACCACCCTATCAGTTAGTCACGAAGGGAAAATGTATATTCTAGTGTTTACTACACAAATATAAAACAGGACACGGTTTCAAAAAGAAAATCAAAAAATTTACTGTTATGTTTAAAATCAGTAACGTTGTCAATTATCATGCGAGTACAACCGCTCTGGTTTTTGATATCTTCTTCAGTATTAAAAGTCCTGAAAACGCAGAATGTAGGGTACTAGCCATCTGAAAGTAGAACAGAAATATTATTAAAGTAGATTTACTTTAATACGTATAAAAGTACATAACCTTTATATTCTTTTGTATTAATAGAAAAACAGGTCTAGTAAATCTATATTACTTTTAAAGGTATTTTCTTATTAACATAGAAGAATCCACCTATTGAAAGACATACTGAAATACTTCCAAATCTTTTCATGAAATTCAACAACTGAAAAAGTTAGTATTTACTGTTAAATAGATCTTTCTTCGCGATAAAATTATAATTGTACCAAATTTATATCTTAAGCTTGAAACATAAATCTAATTCGCATACTTCAAACTGCCTAACTTCTTGAAAGCCATCCTGCATCTAAAAAAGTAAAACATATATAAATTTAAATAAAATAAAGTG